ATGCAATGTCTGAAACTTTTTTTTAACCACCTCTAAGTGGAGTCGCCACCTATGGCCACCTTAAGAATTTTTTTCTATTGCTGTTCAATTTATTCTATCTACGGTCATAGAAAAAAATTGAAAATTTCACCATACATACTTCATAAGATCCCTAATACTTTGGTTTGAATTTCAAGTCTTAAAAAACATTATTGAATGAGAAATTTGTATTAATATTTTAAAATTGTATTTTCCCCTTCTATGGCCACATGAAATCTATCTATGGCCAGTCATTTTCCCCTTCTATGGCCACTGTAAAAATATTTTTTATTTTATTTAAAAAATAATTATTAATACTTATATAACTGTGATAAAAAATACAAGTTAACTAATGAAATTAATAAATTCAAACATATATGACAGGAACTTTTATTTGCCAAAACAAATTATATAAACATAAACAAATTAGGTACCTACCTATTAAAATAAAAACAAATAAGTATATACCTATCCAACTACTTGGTAAATAATAAAAAAAAAAACTCTGATCTGGTTATAAATATATACAAATAACATACGCAACTTTAAAAGAACATAAAATAAATAAACACTTGGTAATCTTTATAATATAATAAAATAACATTAAAAACTTAAAAAAAACTATTAAATAAAAACATTGAATATTAATGATTTAAAACTAGGATATTATAATAGAAATATATTGCATATTATAGGAACATAATGTTACTTCAGTCTTATTTAAATTTTTCGAACACATCAACAATACCTGGGAAAACAGAAACATATTGTCTGTTCTTAAAACATAATTCTGGCAATGGCAATTTGTAAACCAAATCCTGTAACTCTACAACAGATACATCACCTTCAACTAGTACAAATTCTGTATTTTCTTCATCAGAGGCTTCAAAATATTGTACCTCCACTTCAGTTTTAGAAATTACCTTAACTACTGTCGCCACATATTTATAACAAATTTTTTTTTTCCTACAGGCTTAAATTTCACCAGTACATAACACCAGATTTAAGGTCTCGTTTCAAATTGCTCATTTTTTGAAGTAGGTCTTTACATATTGGCTGTGATAACAGTTCATCATCACTAGAATCAACTTTAGAATTCCAGCTCAATTTTGACTCTGTGCTGTCTGTGTCTGATACAACTACTGTAGGCTTCATTTTTTTGGCTTTTATTTCAGCTTTCTCAATTTTTTTTATTTCGGCTTGTTTTCTTTTATCCAGCGTTGCTATTTTTCTCTCTTCTTTTTGTTTCTCTTTCTCTAATTTTTCACTTGCTTTTATATCATGAAACTCAATCCATTTGTCCGAAGTAATAACACTTGGAGTGTACTCTTTTTTTCTGTTTGATTTTGATTGCTGTTGTTCAGGCCACTTAATAATATCATTAAATACTGTTGCTAATGACCTTTTGGCGGGACATGTTTGCATACTTGGTGGCTCTGTACTAAATAGTGGTGTCTCGGTACTAAATGGTTGTGTCTCCGTACTAAATGGTGGTGTGTCTTCTGCTTGGCTGGTTGATGGTATATTAGACCACATTTCTGGGTTTAAAGTATCATTTCGATGTTGTAATATTGGTGATGTTGATACTTGTGAAAACACTGCAATAGTATTATCAGTTTGGATAATCTCATTTTCTTTTTTATTAATGTCTTCAAAAATTGCTGACCATAAAGTATACAGCAATGATGCTTCTACTTTCCCATCCCATTCATACTTTCCTTTGTATGTTCTTTTGAATTCCGTTACAAGATCAACATCAAATTTATTTATGTGATTTTCAATAAATGTTAGGTGTGATTTTATATCATCAATATTTGATGTAGTTTCATGTATTGGAATTGTTCTTCCAATGATTTTATTGTAGTCAACACTATCAGCATTAAATGGATATAAACCAGTTACACGAAAGCCAGATTGAATATTATTTACCATTCCAGCATCCTCTATTATTTGTGATAAGGCTTGAGGTACATCTGATTTTGTAATTTCTTTTTTATTACCTAAGTAAAAACTACTAAATATATGAATTACATTGAATTTAACTTACTTGGTAGTACAGGAACAAACATAAACTGAATATGTTCCAACACAAATTCCCAATGCTCACATATTTGTAATTCTTACATATTCTATACATTTGATTAGTATATGCTTCATGAATGTTGTCATTTTTGTCTTGAACCGTTATCGATTGACTTGTAGATGCTTCATTGTTTAAGTCTGTATTCTTAATTGTTGTTTGGGGATCATCCCACCTTTTAAGACTTAATGGATCAAACTGAGTTCTATCATATACTGAGTTATTAAAAGGAAATATTCCTGCCTTTTTAAAACCATTGATAATTATGCTTTTGTCCAACTGAAGCCAAATTTCACATACTATTTTTGATAGTTCTTGTCTAGGTAGTTTTTGTTGTTTATGGTTTCTAATCCATGTACACAAACGTTGATCATATGTAGTTTCAATAGATTTAAATACAGACATAGGTTGTAGCAAATGACTTGAGTGAGGTGGAAGTAATAATATAGACACATTATTTTCTCTTGCTATTTCTACCAGTTGTAAATTAATATGCGAAGAGTGTCCATTATAAACCAACAAAATTGGATTTTGTGGACTTTGGCTAACCTCCTTCTGAAACACAAAATTAATTAACTTATATAAATGAATAAAAAAAAAGAAGAAAGATTTAAGATTATAAAATAACAACAATAAACCTAAGTTAGACATAAGGTAAGAACATTTATAGGTTAATTAAATTACCTTTAAATTCTTCAATATTTTTTATGCTTTGAACAATGGTAGGTTGACTAGATAAATTAGTGTTTCTATTGTCTCTAATTGGCCATTGTGTTTTGGTTATTGATATACCATTACATGGAGCTTGTGGATGCTCTTGAGCTTGAGGTAGGCTTTGAACTTAGTCTTGAACTTGTGAAATATCGGAATCATCATCATTAAAATCCTCCTTTAAAACATATATACATTTTGTGTATACATTTTGTTATCACTTATCACTGATAAGCTAACATCATTATCTATAAATGGGGTGAACGGGTACACAAAAATATAAACTAATTTTAAAACTAATTTCAAAAAAATTAAAAGACTTATGCAATTTGTTTTAATGTTAGTTATTACATATTATTTTTTTAAGTTATTTAAAAAAAAATGAAAATAATTAAGTTCCTTGTTTTAAATATAACTGATGAAATATTATGTTATTATTTTAATTTGTTTTTAATTAATTATGTATGTTTATTTATATATCGACGGTGTTTTGTAGAAAGGGCGTAATCCACAATTTCAAAACTTTTTACGTTAGAGTAAAAACAGTGCAGAAAATACAGTTTTGATTATATTATTATAAAAATTTTAACTTTGGAAAATAGAAATATTAATAAAATAGTTTTTATCTTAATAACCTTAATAAAAATATGGAGTATCATAGTAATTGTCACTTAAAAAAAGGTGTATGTGGGTTGCGCCCTTCATGCATTTTTAATATCCAAGTGCCTTTTTGATTTCAGAAATTGTTTGTGGCTTACGCCCTTCTTATGTTCTAAATTTCTAAAAGCCCTTTTTAATTTTACGAAATTTTGTTTTTTATTATACCTCAATTTTTGGTTTAAATATTTATTTAAACCTGTCATTAAGAGATATTAGATAATTATAATTAATGATAATATTGAGACTAAATTAAAATGTATTTACTTTTATTACAAAAGTTCAACTACAGTACTAAATAAAAATTCATAATCAATAGGATAAAACATAAATAAGTAAACAAAAAATCCCTTAATATTACTGTAAAGGATATTAGTGTGGATATCTCATTGGAAAATAATTTCTGTAAGCATATTTTTATAAAATGTGTAATGTCTATTCTTATCAATGTTTTGATTCTTTTTATCTATAAAATAAATTACATTTATATAACAATTATACATAGAATACATAATATAATGGTTAATTTTATTGAGAAACATTAAATTTCCATTTATTTCTGATCACTGTTCAACATTTAATAAATAATTTTAAATACCTACCTATTCTAATAAGTGTTTAATAATAACACGCATATTTTTTTGGATAGGTAAATCTATTATAGTACACTGCCATTGAAAATAATAATAGTTTTATTGTGAATGAAGTAGGGTTAGGAAATCAATATTTAAATTATACTTCTATGTACCTAATAGATATAAAAAACTTATTAATAATTGTCAAGAGTAGACATGTCATCTCATCAAATTAATTATATACTAATAAATTATTAAAAAACATTAAAATTATTTAAATATATTGCACTAGAAATAAACAATTGCTGTATAATTGTATATATTATAACCTTCTTAGACCAAAAGATCAAGAATTTGTGAAGCTCATTTTTCTAAAAATTATATTCACGATACCTGGACTTCCGGTGAAGGGTCAAATCAGTATTCGGTAAGTTGTAAGTTTAAGTTTTGATTATAATCATTGTCATTATATACCTAACATAATATACTTAGTTTTTTGTTCTAAAATATATATAGATATGCTTAAAAAAGCCAAGATTAAAAGATGGAGCAGTTCCTAAATTACTTTTAAATGGCAATGCTGGAAATGTTGATACACCCATCACTCTCAATACCTCAAGTAGTTTTAATGTTGAACCTAGTATTTACTCTGCTTCAGAAGTTGTTGAAATCAATCAGGTCTACCCCAGTCACTCACTCACTCCTCTGCAAACATGGACCAAATTACACCAATGTTCAGATCTTGGCTATTCTTTTTCTTCAGTTGGCTCAGTATCTAAGTTTTTTCCTAAATAGCCTCAGTATAATATACCAGTCACTATTATGCGTTAATGTTTATACACAAAAATAAATAAAACAAACTTCATTATTAACTTTTTAATGAATAGGTCACTAGTGAGTACTCTACAGTAAGTCTTTCATACAATATATTATTTTACAATAAGTATATACACAAATATTTACATATTTTTACTTAAAAAAATCAAAGTATCCAAATTCTCTGGTAATAGCCTGTTTCGCCGCGCACATAAGATCTGGCCAGCCTTTGAAAATATCCGTTCTGATGGTACAGAGGTTGCGGGAATAATTGCATATTTTTCCGCGATATCCCCAATTGGATGTAAAGCAGATTTTTGCTGATTCCAAAAAGTGAATATATTACAATTTAATTTTTGATGGGGAATACTTAAGTATTGCCTTATTAAGGCAGTAGCACCGCTCGTTGCTGTACTTTGTGATTGGATAGTGGTCACCTTGGATTGTAGGAATTCCCAAACATTATCCACTTGTTCAGGAACAAATTCCAGATTAACAACGGCATGTTCTGTAAGAAAACAAGTAAAAAATATTATATAAAAAGACCTTCAACCCAAACACATAGTACATTGCTATTAAATTCGTTAGATAATTATTTTTTAACAAGAATATTGTATATTTAGTATTTACCATTAACAGCATTTGAAGCATCTAATAGATCAGCAATTTCTGAAATGATATACTTTTCAGCATCATTAGCATTTTGTGCTACTCCAAATGCAGCTTTTTTGAACCTGGGATCCAACAGAGTAGCTCTTGAAAATCCTGGCGTCAACGTTTGTTTTTCAAACCCATCAAAACGTTTTGATGTTTGATTTATTAAATTTGTTTTTAAAGCTTGTCCAATTATTGTTTTTGGATCTTTTGAAACCAATGAACCTTGTAAACCTACAATAATTATTAAGTTTTATGTACTTATTAAAATGGTTAATTTAATATATTTAATTTAATTTATAAACAATCCTTCCTTAGATTTATATTTATATAATAATTATTAATTATCATTACATTTTATTTATTATGAAATTAATTTATAGCGAGATTAGTTTGTAGATTTTAATTTTGTTATTTGTTAAAAGACTAACTATATACCCATTGAATATTTAAATAAATATGCAATATAATATAATTTGGTGTAGGTACTGTATTAAAATAATTACCTCTTATCAATGGTATCACTTTTGAAATGGTCGGATATTGCTCTGCCGAGAGCTCTACCGTTAAACTATCAAATGGTTTTAACAAGGTTATTATATCTTCAACAACCTTCCATTCATCATGGTCTAGGTTAACTGGAGCTTCGATTAAAGAAATAATGGCAATTGTCAGAGGTTCTTTGAGTTTAACAAGTCTTTCCAACATGAACAAGGTGCTATTCCAGCGTGTGCGGACATCTTGTTTCACTTTTAATATTTGAGTAATACCCAGCTGTTTTTGTTTGTCGATTAATACCCTATTCCCTACCTCACTTCGCTTAAAAAACCCTACAATGCTAAATAGTATTAAGAACAATTTATTTGGAAATAATTGTATACAATTAAAAGTTATGATTAATAAATAAAATACATTTGAAAAATGTAAGACATTTAAATATATAAGTAGGGACCTGGCACAGTGGCACATCGACATCGGTAACATAAATGATTTTCTATGATAAACGGTAGTATTGATAGGGATAGGGGTACTTTTATATTTGATAATAAGTACATACATTATACACTAGGGCTAAAGTAGTGCTAGGTGGTTTGACACATCTTAGCAATTAGTGTATTCAGTTTATCACATTCCGTTCCATATCCAGTATATCTTAATTCGTGGCTGCAGCCGATCGAGCGTTGCTTCTGCGCCGTTCTGAGATAGCACAGTTCGAGATTTGACCACCAGGACCTCTGCTTGTCGCGGGCACTGGTATCGTCGGGCATTCGCGTTTCGCCGGGCATTTGTCTTTTTCCAACGGTCGAGCCCGGTGGAGCGTGTCCCGTTCGTTCGCCGCGGTGTTTGCCGGCCGGCGGTCGACCACGTGGTTTACCAAATCTTTTTCATAAGTTTATTACTCGACCAATAATTTATTGCTGTCCCGCGCGGTCCTCTCTAGCAATCGCGTTCGTCACTTTTCTGCGGTGTAGACGCAGCCGACGTAATACGTTATACACGTCGAGATGGAAGTTTGGCCGCCGTCGTGCTATGTCGTCATGTGCCGACATCTGACCGCCACTCGCCGTCCTCATCTCTCTTTCGCCTGCACACACAAGACACGAAACAATACAAGACGTTGCCGCAATCTATTGCCGGACGCCAGCGGCTTCATCGTGCCTAGTGAATCGTTCGCCGAGTTTGATCATCAGGTCGTATGAATATTATTATAACACGTTGAAATAGACACCTATCTGTTTTTCTTTTGTGTTTGAGCCACTACACGGGAGCCTCACGTTTATCACATTACTTAGCCCCCCGTGCAGAATCGTTTATTTATAATTTACACATCATAATAATATGGTTACGGCTCACATGGGCTGTAGAATGCCTTCCTCAGCTAGGCTGGTGTGTATGCGCATGCCACAAGCTCCATGATGCCGTACGTAGTTTACACGGCGTAGCTACATAGCACGGCAGAGACATGCCCCGGACTGTCCTTTTACATAATTATTTGATTATAGTTTCATTCGGTGTCTTCTCAGACCGGCCAAGCTAGACATCCTAAACTTCTCTCGTATCGTGGTCCATGTCCCATGTATCGGGAATATTTGATGACTGCATGGCTTTTTGAAAAAAACGAGATCGTGAAGGCCACTAAACGAAAAATCAAATTGGTGGGGGGGGGGGGGTTTGGATTAGAGTTAATATATTACTAAAATCAGGTGTTATCGAAGCCATCTTTGGATTATAATTTTTAAAATGCTTTTCCAGTATAGTATATTAGCGTGGATATCTCATTGGAAAATGATTTCTGTAAGCATATTTTTATAAAATGTGTAATGTCTATTCTTATCAATGTTTTGATTCTTTTTATCTATAAAATAAATTACATTTATATAACAATTATATATAGAATACATATTATAATGGTTAATTTTATTGAGAAACATTAAATTTCAATTTATTTCTGATCACTCTGTTCAACATTTAATAAATAATTTTAAATACCTACCTATTCTAATAAGTGTTTAATAATAACACGCATATTTTTTTGGATAGGTAAATCTATAGTACACTGCCATTGAAAATAATAATAGTTTTATTGTGAATGAAGTAGGGTTAGGAAATCAATATTTAAATTATACTTCTATGTACCTAATAGATTTAATAACTTATTAATAATTTTCAAGAGTAGACATGTCATCTAATCAAATTAATTATATACTATTAAATTATTAAAAAAACATTAAAATTATTTAAATATATTGCACTAGAAAATAATCAATTGCTGTATAATTGTATATATTATAACCTTCTTTGTAATTTGTGGTATCGGTACTTTTGATTGACATCCTATTTATCAGCTACATAAAATATTATATACATAATTTAAAATACATTGTTTTATTTTACTCATGCAGCTTCAAATGTATGCCATTTTTAAAGACTTCTATAATAGGAATGAATTAAATTTCTGGGATAGTTAATAATATAAAATCACCTAAGGTTAATAAGTTATAACTTGTTAAATATCATAAAAACTTATATGAAGGTAAAAGTATACAGTATTAAAACTTTGAACATTGAAAAGAATTACTCCCTAAAATATTTACCTTGATCTGTTAAGAAATAAAAATAATAAACCTTATAATGAAAAGATATAGCTTCAATTTGTCAATAAGTATGTAAATCAAGTATTCTGTTAAACCTATGTGTCATACTGAAGCTTAATATTGTGTATTGAGTTTTGCATAATATAAAACATTGCTGATATAATTTTAAATTAATTTTCATACACTTAAAATCAGTAAGAAATAATAATATATTATCATATAATTATCATTTACCTACCTGATATGAAATTACAATGTATGAAAACACAAATTATTAATTTATAATTAATTTCTGTTGAATGTCCACTTTTAACTATGGTATAGGTACCTACTGGCCACTATTAATATAAGTCAATAGAAAACTATGTATTTACTTGGACAAGAGTGCTTGGAGATTAATTTACAATGAGCAATTGACAGATCTCATTTGTATGTATGTAGGTAATACATCTAAGTATAACCAATGTAATGTATTGTTGGTTTCATGAATTATAATTTGACGGTATGATTTTGATCCTATAGTTCAAAATTGACAAATCTGTACACTAAAAGAACCTCTGGCAAGACATAGCGTTCTGTAAGTTCTGAGTGTTTTCAAATGTATGTACAAGTGGAACAGCTGTTATGGCATGTAAGTTCCATCTTGTGTAATGAATTATGATTATGAACATAGATCATAAAATATAAGCGTTGTCCAAGTATTGTAGCAACCGTTACAAATAATGTTTATATACATACTAGTAGTACCTATATTATATGCAATAAAGTGGACAATTTTGAACAATTATGATAAATCAGTAATTTTATATTATAGGTATTTAATAGAATATATAGATGTTTCTAATATATAAAATAGACAGGCACTGTTCAATTTGTATTTAGGTAAAAATACATTAAAATATTCGATGATGATAATATGATATGTTATTATATAATTTAAAATTAAATTGACACGAAAAGTTTATATTATACAATTAATTTGTATTAACATATTTAAATAGCTCTATTTAGTCTTTGTGAATTGCGATTATATTATATTGGTATCACACATATTTTAACAGAACTCTAGACGATTTTCAAACGAGTTAGGTAGGTGAGCCAAGAAAATTATTATTTCTAAATTTAACTAACGTATGCCATAGGATATTTAGTCAACAAACGAATTTTGGAATTGAGATAAATACTTAAATAAAATGGTAATATTTATCAAAAAAAACTAAATCAAATTATTTCTCTATGACTATCTATTTACAATATTTATGACATTATACGGTTAAATTAACACTGGTGAATATTTTTATTCTTTATACTATAAAATTGAAATTTCTTTTGAAAAAAATTCTGTACCTAATGGCTGATACCTCCCACTTAAAAATTATCAAAAATAATCAGGGGTTATATACGCGTTCAGATATATGTTGTATATTTAATGTTTTACAAGAAAACAATTTTTAGATCAGTATTTCCCTACTGCCCTACTTAACCCAATGGCTCCGTGGGCCGGTGTCGAGGGTTTCGTGAGGAATTTATGAAAATATATCTTAATTGATTAATAATATGTTTGATTTGATAATAAATTATGATTTTAACTTAGAATAGCTTCTCTTTAATGCACTTGGATGTTTTCTTATCTTATGATAAGATATTTGTTATAATATAATCTAATGTTAAAAATAAAAAGTAGAAACAAGAACTCCCTTTTTTAGGAATTCTAGTACCGATATGACAAATTGAATTAGAGGCTGTAATATTGATCTTATAATTTTGATAGAATAAACATGAACATTTGCATTCAGCGATGTATTTAAGATGTAAATGCTAGTAGTTGTTTATTAGAATTTTCATAAATGAGGTGCATTATAGGTACATTGAGGTATGATTTCTTGATTTTAAATTTCAAAACCAAATCCTCTGTTTTCTTAACCTTTTTTTATCATATTTTTCATTGATTTCTTTATATAGTTTATTAATTGCAGAAATTAGTTTTAGCTTGATCACAAATTGTTGATACAACAGTAAGGCCAGATGATTGAACAGCCTTTATAATAGGTTTAATTTTAATTGACAAGTTGGTACCATTCTCCTTGTTCATAATCGTCTAAAACATACATTTTAAATACATTTTGTTTTTAAATTTCTCAACCATTAAATTAAAAAAATATATAGATTTACTTTTCTTTGTTTATTTTCCCCATTAAATGTAATGAGAAGATGGGTAAAGTAATTTTGAAAATTGGCCATAGCACACTAAACAGAGATTATAATTGAATTTTTTTCACCTATACTACACTTATATTACATTTATTTGCACTTATACACATATTGATATGAAAAGATTTATTTCCTTATTACAAATTCGAATTTTTCTTTAATTGAATTTTTCATTATTGTCATCACTCGAGTCATTTATTACTGCTATTACTGCTATTACTATTTATTACTGCATTTAATATTTATTATCATTTATTACCTGAAGCATTTATTATTATTGCAACTACTTTATTTAAGATGTTCCAATCTACTAGCTCTTAATTAATTACTTCCCATAGAGAAATACCAGTATGGTTAAACATCAATTTTATTGTACAAAGAACCACATTTCTTAGCTCAATATTTTGAAGTAATTATTATTACTAATTATTATTAAAGTATCCTTTACCCTTAGAACGTTATAACAGGGATGATTATTTGGTAGGTTAGCCGTACGTTTTTATTGTTTTATTTTTCACGCACTTACTTACAACGTATAAATTGCCATGATTTGATCTTTCAAATTGTTGTATCTCCGACACGGGGGGTGGGGGTCGATATTGCGGAAAAGTCGTGGCGGTGTTGTTCCCTCGAATAATTTGTGCCTACTATATACCAGCTTTTGTATCAATTCATTAAAATCTTTGAAAAACTTTTCTTCGAATTTGTTTTTGCCTTCCTGCGTAATTTAGTACTCAGATTTATGTACAGGGCCAGCCATGGCGATTGGCGGAATTCTAACACTCTGTACGTCTGTATTGTGTGTGAAGGTTATAAGAATCGTATACATAAAATAATAGTTATATAAATAATCACTTTTTCAACTACGACACCATGAGCCATTGCCTGTTTCAATTTCATATAATGAACCACGTAGCGTTCTTTCCGCAGAAATGTAACCATCATCTTTCGCATGGAGGACCCGTGTGGTATGCTAGCGTGAGGCATGAACGGCATATCGTTGGGCGTGTCGTGTAGATGATGAGGATACGAAATGTCGACTTCGTAAAATCTACCAATGTTGTCCGTCTCGCGCATCCATTGTAGCTGATCGAGAGCAACTTCTGGGTTTCCCGCGTACCTACGAAATCGCTAATCGGCATATATTTACACATGGCGTACCCGTACAAATTGTTTGCTAGATATATATAAGGAGAAAACATGGATTAATCTACACACATATATAATTTTTTATATTTCTACTTTACCGGGCACCCTTATTTTGCAGTTTTTTTTTTGGAAACTTATGTATACTCTGTCCAGCGAGAGAACGGGCCGGTTCTGCGCATGCAGACTGACGAGCGAGCGAGCTCCGAGGCCCCATTTCCCCCTCTCTCGGCGTGCCGAAGACGGTCGATCGAACCGTCGCCGATGATCGGGAATCAACCACCTGTTGACTATTGCCGCCCGTATAACACGTGCAATATTTTACCGGCTTACCGCATTAATTATTGTATGCAACGTAATTTTAATAATACAACTTTTTTAATATGAACACTTAGTTTTTTCTACATTTTTCGACAAATAAATGTAGTAAAAACACGTTATTATAATACCTTTGTCATAAAATAAACGTAAAATATTTTATTAATATTTTTTTTTATAGTCAACTTTAACAATTAATTTCATATGCAATAAACATAATACAAAATACATTAAAAGTAGGTTAATAACCATTGTCATAACAATTAAAAAAAAACAAAAAAAAAATACAAAATTCATATACATAATAAAAATTCATGACAATTAAACATTTGTATAAACAATATATTTATTCTAATGCTACACATCCAAGGTCATCTGAATCGGACGTGTCCCCAGTGATCGTCATTACATGTAAATTGTCGTCATCCATCACATCATCGACGGTCATGTCCACATTCCAAAATCTGTCTTCTATTTGGATGACGTGTTTGACAAAATTCTCCCACATTTCGGGAGTGCATTGATTAACACCATCAATCAAATGTTTTTGTACGTCCGGAAGTTTGAATGTGGTATTGTTTGACTTCACATACCTTTTTACGGACGACCACGCAAGTTCAATTGGGTTCAACTCACAATGATACGGTGGCGTCCGTAATACCGTCATATTTTTAGTTTTGACGTATTCGTCAACAACGTATTTGTTGAACTGCGGTTTAATACGCTTTACGATTTCCATTAGTCCTACCTTGTTGATCGGCCTTTGGAATGGTTCACCCTTTTCTTCAAGCCAACTTTCAATTCCCGCCTTTTTCCATCCTAATGTTGGGCATTTTTCTACTTTAACTGAGTGATAAGGCGCATTGTCCATAACTATGACAGAATTGTCTTTAAGTAATGGAATGACGCCTTTCAACCAGTCGAAAAAAACATCACCATTCATTTCTTCGTGATAATCTGAAGAACCTTTTTTGGATTCGAATACCAATAAGCCACCGTCGACAAAACCCTCGTTTGATCCAATATGAACAACAATAAGTCGTTTCCCTTTTGCTGTAGGATTCGGTGCGCCAGTAGAAAGACCGCTCAAAAAGGCATCTCTGTGGGACGTAACAGTATTATCCTGCCATATTCTGTCGTTACAGTCACCTGCGTTGACCCAGGTCTCGTCCAGGTAGTATATCGTTCTTCTTTGTGCCCGGTATTTACGTATATCTTCAATATATTTTGTGCGCCATAACACAATATCATCTCTATGAGAGCGCTGTTACGGCCACGTTTGACGTATACAAAATTTAAGTCATGTATTAGTAAATGTAGAGTAGACCTTTTGTATGTGTTTAAGTCTGGGTCTTCGTTAACGGCTGTTAAAATTTTATCCAGTGTAGGTAACTGTTTTCGGAACCAAAACTCGTGCACCTTCCTCCGTATCGCGTCACGTTCAAAATCATCAACTTTTTGTTTATATGTCGCTCGAATTTTTGATTTATTTGGCGAACTCACAGTTTTTTTGTTTTTGTATTCAGCAATTGTTGACTGGATTGTATTTTTACCAATACCCAATTCTTTTGAAATTATCATCGCTACTTCTTTAACCTTTAACGTTGGCTGTTGTATCATTTTTGATTTAAACAAATTTACAATCATCAGTTTTTGACGACTTCCGACGAACTGAAAAATGAAGACAAAAAAAATATATTGATTACAAATCAAATAATATTCTTTAAAAAATTACAAAATGTAATATATTAAGGGGCCTAGTACCGGTTTTCCAAATTAAAAACAATTAAAATTTATCCACACTTACTTTTCCTCTAGGGTTCACCTTTAATGGTGTACTAGAAACTGGTCGCTCATCACTCATTTTAAAATTATATTATTCGTACGAAAAAAAGATATAATTTTCACTTGAGTTACGTATAATAAATAGTAAACACACTTCGCGCTGGAATCAGGAATGTACTACGAGCATCAACTGGAATCGTCGGACACGTGCCGCCGGTCGTCGGAAAGCGACGTCGGTCGTCGGAGCGCGACATCGGTCGGTGGGCCGTCGTTGTGAGCACACTGGGCTGGGTACGCTCGGGGATGCGCGAAAACGGGCCGATTTTGGTCGGCGCGCGGCCCGTTCTCTCGCTGGACAGAGTATAGTTAAGTACACTGGAAAACGATGGTGAAAACCGATTTTGGGGCACGGACTTAGTTTTGAAGTTATGGCCTAATGAAGTTCACTATTTCGCAATGACAAACGATGCCCAATCTACGATGGTTTGATTTGCCAGCCTCAACTGTAGTTGGAGTACTGGGATGGAGCAACTCATCACCAATAAATTCACGAAACCACAAATGTCTAATCATGACAGATGGGACTTTGCAAAAAATGTATTTTTCCTCAATGACATGCTATAAATTGTTTGTTTTATATTTATTTAGTATTTATTTTAATTTAGTTTAGTTTTAATTTTAGTAATTATAATGTAGTGTTTAATTTAGTTTTAATATTTACCTATAGTTGCAAGTTTTTTTTTTTTTTTAGTTTGTTTTTCCCTGCACTTTTGAATTTATCCAAAGACGCTTCTTCGCGTGTTAATGTCATTTTATGCCCTCTTATGCATTTCGGTGCATTATGTAATACACCAAAATTCCGGAGCATTTATATTAATGCCAATCCTTCGTTTTGAAGAGACAGTTCTTTTAAGTCATATAAATTTAAACTCTTGACACTCATTGTAATATATTTTTAAAGAAAATGTTATTTAAGATATGTATTAGAAAAAAACACTAGTTTCTTATATAACGAGTGCAATACTGAAACGTTTTAGATATCTCATATTTAAATTGTTTTTGCTCCAAATACATTTATTATTTGTTATATTATCTTAATGAATGTCGTTAAGATAAAAAAAATTGGTATATAGTGGTGTTTTCGAAATAGTCGTAGTAAACTAGTGTGATGCGCGAATGCGTAAAAATCGCTAAATAGTGAACTTCATTAGGCCATAGCTTCAAAACTAAGTTCGTGCCCCAAATTCGGTTTTCACCATCGTTTTCAGTGTACTTAACTTCATAAGTTTCCAAAAAAAAAAATTGCACAAAAAAGGGTACCCGGTAAAGTAGAAATGTTCCTATAATTTATATTTTATAATCACCATCTAGGTATATGAGCGACGTGTTAGGTTCTTCGGCATTGTATCCAGGCGTCTGGGGATTGTTGGCGCGCGCGTGGCCGACTCCAGATACAAAATTTTCTCATAATCATCCAAGAGCAAAAGTTGAACTTACGTAAGTTTCAGCATACAGTCGAAACTGAAGCCGGGTAACGTGTAGTATTGTGCTGGGTCCAGGTGATATGTGGTCATGCATAATATATCCCTGAAATTCTCAAACACGTCGGCGCTTAACACCACGTCGACTTTAAGGTACAGATCGCTATAAGCACCGAGCGTTGTACAGCCGAAATGATCCCAAACTCTGGTCGCATGATCGTAGTCTTCGTCACACACGTGCGTCTCAGTCAGCGCGCTGTAGAACTGGAACTTGTCTGGTAACGATGACACTAGCAATTTATCCCATGAATCTGTGTGCTCATACGGATAAACGCCTTTCCGTGTGACCAACTGCATCTCCGACGGATCGAACACTTTCGCGACTTCGCGAAACTTATTAAAGTTCGCGGAGGAGAGGTTCTCCACCAACTGTGCCAAGCTTGATGTCATGAACCGACACGTGTCTACAAACCGGACGGAGAACGTGTTGTTTATATACTTCGAAAATGAAATATACTTCTCCTCAGTGTTCGCGATTACAGATATTCGATTATTGTCGTCGTTCGCTAAATTTGTGACTATAAAATGTGCGTCGTAGTTCGACAGATTATGCAGGAAGCACTGAACAAATGTCGGTGTTTTCAACTTGAGGTTGCACGTGTTACATAATGATTTTAAAAAACGCCCCGACAAGTGATCGTGATGTGCAGTTTTACAGTTACGCTCAGTAAACGCACCGCTGAACAAATCACACATCACCTTGGCGTCATGCACGTGACAATCCTCAACACTCATAGAAATCGACACGTTAACTTCCTTATACAATCTGCCTATCTTGGCGGTCACATCGAGGACGTCGCGGACAAAACGCTTGGCCACGTCGTCTTCGGTCGCCGAGCCTCGGAAAATGACGGGAGCACTCGGAATGTCGAACTGGTCAAATAAATCTATTGGTACCCCCTCCGCTGCGACTACGATTTAACCGTAACTCATGGGGTGGTGCGTGTGTATCGCCGTGGTATTAATACCTTGTTTCCGAGACGATTTCAGTAATAGGGCTTCGAAGTCTGCGTAAACTACAAATGGCAGGCGTTCCGTTTTACACCACGTCTTGAATTCGAGCGTATCTCCCTCTTTCGGCATAAGAGGCACAATTGGTTGTGCGTACCACACAACAAACGATGCTTCGCCAACGCCTGGTCGCCGTGTAATTTATATTTCAATGGGCGGTCCTCGAAACTGGTGAAACATAGTTTACAAAAAAATAAGCGGTGTTGATGATTATTTTTTTGCGGTGCACTAGACGTGAAAAATTTGAAATAAACGCATAATGATTCATGTCGTCTTTCCCGCTAATCAACAGCAGGTCGAAATGATCCGCTTTTTCCTCGTCCGCGATTCGCAGCGGGTATGCGGCATATTTTGTGCTCGATTTTTTGTTATTCTTATTTTCCACGCATTTTCTCACGCCGTATAAATTGACTGTCGTGTCGGGATTCGATCTTTCGAATTGTTTTATTTCCGACACGGTAGTGGGGATTGATATTGTGGAAAAGTCATAGCGGTGTTCTTCGCTCAAATAATTCGTGCCTACTCGTGTGCGATTTCCGTGCGGTACGTGTTTGGCGAGGATCGCACACTTTAAGCATTGCCGGTCGATATTTTTAGGGTTAACAACGGCCTTCCGATTCAAAATACTTTCCGGCAACGGTAAGTACGACGATCCCCCATAGGCGTGACTCTTACACACCCAAGAGCAGTCTATCGATGCACGATAAGGCGAACCCGCTATACTTTCCGGCGTAACAATCCTCTTCGGCGAGGAGCGTAGAGAAATCACGATCAACCAAAGCCTCGACGTTGCTGTGTGCATAGAGTTCTCGGCCCGAAGTTTTAAACTCCTGATTTTGAGCCGAATTATCCAACTTGGGTATGACGTATGTAGCCTCTAGTTTCAGGTTGTATTTTATAGTGTTAATACACGTGTGTTCGCGTAATTTTGCGATTAGTTTGGCCTCTATCGAATTTATGAACGCACGGTAACTGACTACATTATCGACCTTTTTCCTAAAATACCACACGATTGAGCGAAGACTCAATCTCGATGAAGCCCGGCTTATTTTTGCCCTAACTGCTAGTGTTAGCACTGGAAACACGTTTTCCATTATCAAGCGTAGTTTATGAATCTTTTTAAAAAAACCTAATTAGTCTATGCGGCGGTAATAAAAATAACGGCTACCGCTCACCCCATCATGCTTACAATCCTCACCGTATGTAACAAAAGATTTTATCCAGACCTTTTTTTCACCAAGGAATATAATATGATATTTAAAAACTAAAATATTATATAAAGGATATTTAAAACTAAAATACATAAAGAATATTACCAAGTCTCCTCCTCAGAAGATAGTCGTTCACGAACGCGGTCTGGTCTATATGTATCTCCGAAAGTATACGTTCGATCATTATATAATTCACTAACTCTTGTATCATCAATTTCAATACCTAACTGGAATAATACATTTTTCTGGTTTTTTGTTTCAGTAGGTACCTAGTTTATTATGTAAATCTAAATATTCTAAATATTTTTAATCCGAACGATGCGGAATGCTGGCGTGAGGCAAAAACGGCATATCGTTGTGGGCGTCGTGTAGATTCTGCTGGTATATTATATCCACTTCGTAAAATCTACCCCCAACGTCCGTCGCGCCCATCCACTCTAACTGGGCCAGCGTGACCTCTGGATTTCCCGCGTACCATACGAAATCTCCAATCGGCATATACTGACACATCGCGTACCCGTACAAATTGTTTGCTAAATAAATACGGAAAAACATGGATTAATTTACACGTACATATAATTTATATTTTATAATCACCATCTAAGTTTATGAGTGACGTGTTAGGTTCTTCGGCATTGTATCCTGGCGTCTCAGGATTGTTGGACCGCCAGGCCACCACGCGTATTGAACTCCAGAAAGAGAATTTTCTCATAATCGTTCAAGAGCGAAAGTTGGACCTTTGTCAAAACTGAATCCGGGTAATGTGAAGTAATGTGTGGGGTCGAGGTGATATGTGGTCATGCATATATCTCTGAAACTCTCATACACGTCGGCACTTAAGAACACATCGGCTTTAAGATACAGATCGCTATAAGCACCGAGTGTTGTTCAGTCGAAATGATTCCACACCCGGATCGCGTGATCGCAATCTTCATCATACACGTGTGTCTCCGTCAACGCGCTGTAGAATTGAAACTTATCAGGTAACGATGGTACTTGTAATTTATCCCACGAATCCGTGTATTCGTACGGATAAATCCCTTTCCGTGTGATCAACGACATCTCCGACGGGGTGAACAGTTTCGCGACTTCCCGAAACTTATCAAAGTTCGCGGAGGTGAGGTTCTCCGCCATGTGCTCCAAGCTCGACGCCATGAACCTACACGTGTCTACAAACCTGACGGAGAACGAGTTGTTTACAATGTTAATTTGAAATCTATTACAAAACTGCTTTTATTTAGCCCCCCCCCCCATATATGAGGCTTACCGCGGGAACTGTGCCGAGATTATAACTATTGATATCCCCGTCAGTCATCTGAACGGATTTCGGCAGAAACACATTTATAGTGCGTGTCCCCGCGGTTTTGTGTAACACGCAGACACCGCCATCCCGAATTGTGTGTTCACATTCTTCATGCTCTGTTCGGGGTACGCCTCGTGCCTGGTGAGATCGCCGACGGAAAGGCTGACATATTCGGAAATATCGACGTCCGTCATTCGGATGGCTTTCGGTAGGAAAACATTGATTGTTTGTGTTTTTTCGGTATCTATCAATACGCAAGACACGGCGGTTCCAAACTTAGTGTCCACATTTTTCATATGGGTACGACAAGTCCTTGCTGAGTTCGCCGATTGAGAGGTTTACGCTATTCGCCTGGACCTGCAGAGACTGGAGGAATGCCATAGTACTCTGGAGACAGTAAAAAAAAAAAAATAAATAAATTATCTAAACGTGTACACGTGAATACCGATATGCGTGAATAGATATTTTTATAATTTTTTAAAAATATCTAATTATTTTATTAGACTTAAAATTAAATCACTTTAAGTTAGAGGTGATTATCTGATGATTGCACGGAGCCGGAGTCACTTTTATTTATAGTAGACAGTATGTAACTGTGGTTGGCTTGACGTGGTTGAATGAGATGAGTGAATGAAATCAAAACTGCAAAATAAAAATAAAACTCCTATTAATTTCATATAATATATGAAAAATTCTCCAATGAAATCGAGCGGTCCTTTACAGTCGTGTAATACGACTGCATAATATTATAATAATAATTATCAAATAAAACTCACTTTATTTGAACGGCGGTGTCTATGAATATTTGGAACTTGTTGATGGACGATATTGACTATATGAACGAGAGGACTGTTTTGAACGGGCGAGAAAATAGGACTGATTCAGTATTGAGTGGACAGCGGCCAAGTGTCCAAAATTATTGTCATCGACGGCCACCCCCACCTACACCGTTCAAAATCAACCGTTCATCCCGCTCAAAATCATTTTCCTCCTTTTTCTTCATATTAGTGTTTAATTCAATATACTGGGCAAGCCAAGGTAATTGCTTGAATTGAATAACTCTATGCACCTATAATATAAATGTTAGTAATTCTATGATAAAATACCATTATATATATGATATTCACCTTTTCAACTACGAGACCATTGTTTAAGGCTTGCTGGAGGTTTCGATAGTGAACAATATAATTTTTCTTAGGTTCAAATGTAGCCATGAGTTTGCGTACTTTTGCACCTTGTGGTATGCTGTTTTGTGGTAGGAATGGCCAGTCGTTATGTTTATCATGTAATTTTTTGGGATAAACAACGTCAACCTCGTAAACCCGTCCTATGGGCGAATCCTCAGTCAAATCGTGTAATCCGTCAAGTGATGGTTTAACCCACTTGAAATCTCCGTAGGGCATAAACTGAGACATTGCCCAGCCGTAAAGATTGTTGCCTAAAGTTTAAAAAGTTAATTTATCTATATTATTATTATTTATAAATAAACTTACAATCCTGATAAACAAGCCATGATTTTGAATCTGCCGGGTTGTAATCTGGTGTTTTTTCATTGTTTGATTTTGTATACCGCATGCTGGCTTGTGTGAGTCCACCTCGAATACCTAGAAAAAATTGTCATTATATGCATACAGAAATAATCCCAATATACTAACCGTCTTCAAACATGAGAAGCATTTCATAATCTGACAGTAATTCTAGTTTTACTGCCGTGTATTTAAGCATACAATCAAATAAAAACCCTGGAGCGGTGTAATAGTATGCAGGATCTAAGTCGTAAGTCTTCATATACACATCACGGAAATTTTCAAAAATATCAGCCAGCAGCAATACATCAATTTTTAAATACAAATCTGAATATTCACCAATCGTTTTACATCCAAAATGTTCCCATACTTTCATCGCGTGCTCGTACTCTTCATCTTTAATTGCCGACTCGGTCAGGATACTGTAAAATTCAGCTTTATCCGGTAACGCATTTTCATCGAGCTTACTCCACTCGTCCGTGTACTGGTAAGGGTGTACACCCTTACGGGTTACAAGGTTCATATCACTGGTGGTAAAATGCTTCCCCGTCTCACGGAATTTAGAAAAGTCAGGAGTTACCAAATTTTTAGCGAGTGTTGAAAGTTTCGAAGCCATAAATCTGCATGTGTCGATGAATCTGATAGTAAAATTGTTACTTATATATTTTGAAAAGGTAACGAATTTCTCCTCGCTGTTCGGAATTACTTTTATTATTTTTGAATTATAACCTAGTTCTGTTACTATGAAATGAGCATCATAGTTTGAAAGATTATGTAAAAAGCACGGGACGAAAACTGGTGTTTGTAGTTTCTGGTTACACATATTGCAAAGAGCTTGTCGATACTTTCCAGAAAGGTGGCAGTGGTCGGCGGTTTTTCGATGTTGTATCTCATTAGGTGGTTTACACTTTATAAAACACAGATTAGAGTGTGTCACCGCCTTATGAACCGCTCTTTTATGTGCACTCATATTTATCATTACATTTGTCTTTAATAATTGTTCTATTTTCTCGGCAACGTCAGTGATATTGTGTATAAAATGCTTTGCCACGTCTTGCCTGCTTTCACTACCTCGGTATATAACTGGTCCAATCGGTATGTTAAATTGTGTTAACAACTCTATTGGAACATTTTCAGACGCCTCAACTAAAAATCCGTAACTCATAGGATGGTGTTTTTGTATGATTGTTGTATTATCACCCTTTTCCTCTTCGGTCTTTACAAGCAGAGCCTCGAAATCGGCATATATAACTATGGGATGTCTCTGCGCGTTTTGCCACGCGGTGAATTGTAGCACATCTCCCTCGAGTCATCAACGCTCGACTAACTCATTAGGATCATTCCAGTATACTAAACTTTTATTTTGAAATTTCACAGATAACCAGATGGGAACAATGGTTAGTTTATGTCGGTGAATTTTTTTCCACCTTTTTAAATTTTTTTCCCGTCTGATGTCAAATGTGCTGATGTTTGAATTAATATGCATTTATATGTGTTTAGATCATCTGCGGTATAGATTTTCGGAGTTTTCGAAATTATTAAACTAACAAGACCTTGTGTTAACGGGCATGATGTATCTTCAATAATTAATGTATTTCCGTTAAGTTTAATTTCTTTTTTACCCAAATATGCGTCTCCGTTTGATTGCAATTTTGGACCATACGTTTTGTCTATGCTGTACGAATCCAACAACTCGTTTATTTTAAAAATTCTGGAATTTTCTGTATTATTTTTTTCGATATTTTGAACAGTTATCTCCCGAGGTTGCGATGTCGACTTTTGAATCTCGTTTAATGGATTGATAATTGGTTTTAATGTTTCCGTTACTAATGAATGAATATCAGCTTTCCCGTGTTGTAATGCAGTATACTTGCGTTTAATATTTTCTTTGGCTTTAATCAATTCTCCGAGTACTTCATTGTTAGACGACATATTTGCAAATGAAGTGTTTTTATAAAAAACATTAGTTTATATAACGACGAACGTATCGAATTCGTGACGGTATCGCCCATTGTCGCGTTCACAGTCTTAGTTTATGACGATAAACTCAAATCTCCCTTTACGCCAGCATGAAGTACAAAAATCTTTAAACTCTGGATATGACATATCACCAAAGCAATGTTCCATGTAAACATGTTTCAAATTTGTCTCATCTTCCTTAAACGGTACAATAAAATTAGCGTTGTTGCGCAAAAGTTGCTTAGGTACTTTTGAATAACTCTGAGCTAAATAGAAAACATCTATTAAATTATGCCGACCTCTGGAAAAGTAAGTTCTTGCAATCTTTTGGTTTTCAGTAATAATATCATCGAAAATAAACACAGAGTTTGGCCTAGCTTTTTCAGGTTCAATAACTTGCTCGTTTTCGTAGAATGTAAATAATTGTATTCCAGCAATGTCTGATAAAATATCACTCAATAATTTATACTTTGGTTGATCCAATGTTTTTGAATATATGTAAACGTTGTGAAATTGAATACCGTTTATGTGTGTTAATAATGTGTATATTAAATTAGTTTTCCCACAACCTGAAGGACCAACAATAAGTGATCTTATCGTATTAGGTAGAAGCGCCTCATGTCTTTGTTTTTTATACGTAGTAGGCATGTCCACGTTTTCAACTGTGAGTTGTATATCTTGTTTAAGGAATTTCATTTTTAAATAAATATCTCTGTAATACTGCGAACTTGATCAGTACACGAAGTCACTCGCTCGAAGAAGGAACAACAATAAAGGCGCTGGTCTTATCAACACGCTTATAAACAAATTACCGCTAGAGCTTCACGTGCCTAGTGAGATCATAATATGCGTATATTATATTAGTAATAATAATAACATTTCTCTCTCTCTAGGTTATCAATATTGTGGTCCTGGTACAAATTTAAAAAACGGATAGCTCGTGGTGACAAAGGTATAAACCTCCTGGATTCTGCTTGTAGAGAGCACGACATTGCGTATGAAAATAGTAATTCTTTCGCAGATCGTAACAAAGCCGATTATATATTAGAGCAGCGAGCCTGGGATAGGTTTAAGCCTAAAGATTCAAATTTAAAAGAGAAAGCCGTAGCTTGGGGCTTGACAACCGCCATGAAAGAAAAACATAAAATCGGGGCTGGATGTGGGTTTAAAGCAGCCATCAAAGCAGCTAAAAACGCTATAAAGAAAAATACAAGCATTTAGCGAGAGCCAACCGGAGAAGCGGTTTCCTTTTAAACCGAACGTGGATACGGGCTATGCAAACATTTTGACCACCTTTATCGAATGGCAAAATGAGGAAGGGGCATGAAACACATTATAGATACTTTAACTACCATACTATTTAACGTTATAGTAAATTAAATTTAAAAAAAAAATAGAAACCTCATTGTAATAAATATATATGCTAAAAAAAAAAAAATGTTCCATAATAAAAAAAATATATACAACAGTATCGTATGACATATATTATTATAGAAAATCTCTGTAACCCCAAAATGAGTGTAAGAATCGAAAAAGCATTTTTGGGGCACTTCATAGATCAGCTAAGGATAACAATGAACCATCAATACCATGTGAATCCAAGGGATTCATATAGGTATAGCAATCCATCTGGTTTAAGGGTTCCCATCAGTACCACCAACACGGAGCTAGGGGATCCTTTCACAAAGGATAAAATAGATTTAATAACCGCGCATTTATGTAGCTTTATACACTTTTCAACTCTAAGAAGTAGGGCGGGTAGAGCTCCATGTATGGTTTTTTTTATAAATAATAAACTTATCATCTCAGCA